AAGGAAAAGGGGGAAGAGCAGAACCCTTGAGGACACCAGTGTTTAAGTGGTAGCTCAAGAAAGTTGTGCTTGTGAAGGAGATTGGGAAGTGAGAAGTCTAAGAATAGGAAGAGAATCAGGAGGATGGTGTCATGGAGCTGAGAGAGTGATGAGCCCAGGGAGTAAGTCATGTTACAGAAGGATCCAGAGAAAAGGAACATTGGATGTAACAGTCACATTTGGCAATTAGAGGCTCTTGAGATTTTTTTAAATTAACATTTTTGTTTTTCTTTAATAATACACTTTCATTACAGATAAATTAGAAAATGATTAGCAAAAAAAAAAAAAGAAATGGGGGGGAGTAAAATCACTGTATACTCTACCATTCAAGGATACAATTTTTAACATTTTGGTGTATTATCCTTTCAGGCTTTTTTTAATTTATTAACAAGGTTTTTTGAAATTATTTCAGACTGGGATAACTGCTGAATAAATAGGTTAATATGTGAAGAAGTTAAATATAAGGTATCGCAGATAAAATATTGATAAACCAAAGGTAGTAAGATCTAGCGATAGACTATGCATATGAGTGGAGAAGTGGTACACACACTGAGGGTTCTATACCAAATCCAGATTACAGAGGGAATTCCTGAAAGGTACATACTTACATACCTAACATAGTACCTGGCACATGTAGGTGATCTTCCTCTTATTAAATAAAGAGGGGTAATTGGTAATTAGAGTGGTAAGATTGGCAATGACACACTCCCTGAAGAAGAAGGTAGAGCAGATGACAGCATTTAACTGCAGTGTCAGTTTCACTGGAGCACTCAGGGTCCATCCAAAGACCCAACCAGGAAAAGAAAAGAAAAAAGAAAAAAAAAAAAACAACTTAGATTGGGTTCTAGCATTACCACCTTCAAGGATCACATCCTTTGATTTCCCTCTTCTAGGCTGGCATGATGTCTAGATAGTTTTGGCTCTCTTGTGCTGCCTTAACAGAAAGCACCACAAGTAGATGACTTAACCAAACAGAGATTTAGGCTAGAAGTCCAAGTTCATAGTGCCAGCTCTAGGGGCTGGGTGAAGGCCCCTCAGCCTTAGGCTTCAGCTCTGCCTCTTGCTCCTGGACCACTGGATCTGGAGGCATCTCTTAACTCAGGCAGATGCTGGCTGCTGAGGCTGACAAACCTGAGGTCGACAAGTAAAATGTCACAGTCCCAAGGTGATCAAGCAACACAGCAGACCACTAGTTCAAGTCTAGAAACAGTCTCAAGATTGGCAGGCTACTGAATGAAGACTCCGCTACACACAGAGTCCAAGCTTGCCAAAAAGCTCAGAGACCTTCCTTAAAGCTGCTGCTTATATACTGGAAGCAGACCACATCCCTAAGGCAGCTACTCAGCTGCTCACAGCAGATTCCACTATAGAGTTGATTACCAGTCTCATCATGGAAAATCACTGTATCCAGCTGCCCAGCCACTCAAAACCAGGCCCAGCCAAGTTGACCCACAACCTTAACTACCACAATAGTGAATCACCAGATAGCTCCCAACACATAGCTCCAAGTCATGAGACTCAAGGTGTTTTGTCCATATCAGTTGTTCTGAGTTTGGGACAGCTCTCACTGTTTATCAGTGTACATCAACAGAGAATACCTTCACAACTCAAAGGGGAAAATGCCCAGAAGTATTGACAATGCCCAGAAGTATTGAAGATTACAATAATAGCAGTCAGCCTAGTGTTTGGAATAGTGGGATAGTCATGGAGGACAAGCAAAGTGGTAAGGGAAAGAAGGCCCTGGCAAGAGTGATTTCTCTGATGTACCAGAAAGTCCAGCTGGAGGAGGACAGGGCAAAGGTAGGAGATGATAGAGATTGACCAAGTGAAAAGAGATGAGGAAGGTTAAACCTGAGTGAGAAGATAGCAGTTAATTTTGAGATGTGGACCAGTTCTGGATTGTAGTGAAGTCCAAGGTTTGGGGCATTAAGGTTTTGAAATAGAGTGAGGGGAGGTCAGGGACCTTTGACTTTGGATGGGTGATTTTGTAAATATTGAAGAGATAAAGTAAATGACTGTTAGTCCAGTGCCAAAGTTGTTAGCAAATGTGGAAGAGAGATTGATTGATCATGATGTATATATGATAAGTGACAAGAAGGAATGAAAGATAGGTTTTAATCTGAGTGAAAGGCCAAGTTTTAGAAAATGGCTCTGGGACAGAGAACTAAGCTTAGCCTTTTATCTGGCTTCTGATAATAGCCAGAGCAATGAAGGTCCTATTTGTTGTTGTAAAACAGCCAGGCAACACTTAAACCTGTGCAAATAAGCTGGGAGTGCCCATCTCATCACCTTGACAACAAGCCTCAGAAAGAAAAGGGCCATGATGAGGCCTCTACCACCCCCACCCTCTGAGGCCTGATGTTTGCCCATGTAGTGTGCCATGTGGGCTTTGGGATATAAAAATGGATGGCCAGTGCTGGGTGGAAGGACTGGTAGCATAAGTGTTCAGCCCACCTAACGAGGCCTACCTGGTCAGGGGAACTGGCAGAAGGTAGCCCCCATCCCTTTTTTTAACAGTACATTTTTGTTGTTGAAAATATGTACAGCAGCCCATATACCAGTTTAACAATTTCTATAATTCAGTAACATTGATTACATTCTTCAGTTGTGCAACCATTCTCACCCTCCTTTTCTGAGTAGTTCCTCCCCATTTAACATAAACTCACTGCCCCCTAAGGTTCTTAACTAACCTTTTGAGTTGCTGTTGTCACTTGGATTTTATATATATATATATATATATATATATATATATATATATATTTTAAGAACACAGTGCTCAGGGCAGACATCTTTTACTAATTAAACTAAGCTTTTATTTACTAACTCTGGCGGTACAATGGTTAAAATATTTGGCTGCTAACCAAAAGGTTGGTGGTTTGAACCCACCAGCCACTCTGCAGGAGAAAGATGAGGTAGTGTGCTTCGGTAAAGATTTACAACCTTAGAAACCCTATGGAGCAGTTCTACTCTGTCCTATAGGGTTACTATGAGTTGGAATCAACTTGATGGCAGTAGGTTTGGTTGTTTATTTAAAGAAGACTTTAGGGGATGTTTTTGGCTTAAGGCTTAAGATTTAAATGTTATCTTGGCAATAGTTTTGGGGGTTCATCCAGCCTCAATGGCTCCAGGAAACCTGGAGTCCATGAGAATTTAAAATACTGTTCTAAATTTCCACCCCCTTTTGATCAGAATCCTTCTATGGAATGTTGATTAAAACACTCAACAATGGTAGCCAAGGTGCCAGTTTTGAGTCCTTACCCACAATACCAGGTGGAGGCATGCAGAGAAGAGTTCTTTCTTGCCACCAGGACAGCTTCCAGAAGCTGGAGGGGACTAGAGCGTCATACAACTCTCCCTTTTGAGTCCCCTGTCGGTGTGTAGTAGGGCACAGATTAAAATTTTCTACCTCCACCAGGACAGCTTTTGAGCCAAGCAGTGGTGCTTGCCTGTTACATACTATCTACTTTTTTTGGTAAATAATAAAAGCTACTTTCTATTTGCAGACATGAGGAGGTGATGTCATGGGATAATCATACTTAGTGATTGGTTCTCTTTTTCTAATGGTCTCCTGACTAAAAATTGGACAGCCTTTGAGTACCTTGCAGTTTTAGTGTGTTGTCTCACAGGGCAATAGAAAGCTAAAAGAAGGCAGGTCTGTAAGCTATGGAAGAGTATTTTTTCCTAAGATGAGGAGCAGAGGTAGGGGAAGATAGGAGTAGGAAGCAGGAGACCAGAAACTGTGACTTTAAAGAAAACTCTCTTATTTAAATTAGGGAGTAGGGAGACCTTTGTGTGACCAACTGGGCAGTAGAGGAATTTGTTTACACTGAAACAAGGTTCCACAGGGCTGGGTGGAAAGTGTTGAGAGGGAATTCGGGAATGGGGAATGGGAGGATGAGTCATGGGTCGATGGGTTGATGGGTTGATGGGTGGTTAGGGAGGAAGCTTGGAGCTATGTGAGGATGAGAGTTGAGGAAAAGATAGATGGCCTGGGGAAGGGGTGGTTATTTTGTGTGAAAAGGAGAAAATTGCTTCATAAACAGTCCAATAGACTGAATGACTTTGTTCTGCTTTACTTAAGAGATATAATTCTACTATTTTAGCTTCATTTCTCTGATATGCACAGATGTAGTTTGATTTCCTTAAAGAATAATATATATTTACATTTTAAGTATACAGGCAGTATGTGGTCACTGTTTTTAAAAAATAAGGTGAGGTAAGTTTAAAAAAAAAAGCCTCAAAATTTCCTGAGATCTCACTACCTAGGGACATCATTTTGATATATATTGGTATATTGACTTTTTCTCATATAAACATATACATATGTATTTAATTTTAAAAAATATACCCGCTGTGCTGCAGCTAACTTTTTTTTTTCACGTAGCATCTAATATCCTTTATCAGAATGTGTACATTATTTTCATTTTAATTATTGTAATCCGTTATAGGACTATACTATATTTAATAAGCTAATTTTGGATTTTTTAATACTCTACAAATTTTTAAAATCATAAATAAGGCTATAAAGACAAACACTGTGTATACAACTTTGCATGTTTATCTGATTATTTCCTTAAGATAAGTTTCTAGTTTTCAAGGCCAAGATTATAATTTCTTTTTTGTATTATACTTTTGTATTTGACTGTGAAATCCTTTTTGTGTTGCTAGTTTTGGGTCATGTTTAAATATATTTTAGGAAAAGTATAAAGTCAGTGAGATAACATGTGTTGTTTGTAAGTTAAATATTTGCCATTGTTTGATATATATTGAATAGTTTTCCCCAGGTAGAGGAGCCAAAAACCTTTATGTTGTCTTCTCCCAAAAGACTTGTACATTTAGGACTTCGGCTGTGGAAATGAGATAATTATAAAAATTGTTTAAGCTCTTAACTTATTAATATCTTGAGAATGCATGCAAATGATTAACGCAGTTTTCTTTGATTACTTTTTTTCCAGGGATTCATGGCAGGGGACGCAGAAGGTTTCTGTTCCTCCATCCATGACACCAGTGTCTCTGCTGGTTTCAGAGCACTGTATGAGGAGGGATTGCTTCTTGATGTCACTCTAGTCATTGAAGATCACCAGTTCCAGGCCCATAAAGCACTCCTGGCCACCCAGAGTGATTACTTCAGGATTATGTTTACTGCCGACATGAGGGAGCGAGATCAGGATAAAATTCATTTAAAAGGTCTAACTGCTACTGGTTTCAGCCACGTCCTTCAATTTATGTACTATGGAACTATAGAACTGAGTATGAATACTGTACATGAGATTCTTCAGGCTGCCATGTATGTCCAGCTAATAGAAGTGGTGAAGTTCTGCTGCTCTTTTTTATTAGCGAAAATCTGCTTAGAAAACTGTGCAGAAATTATGAGACTCTTAGATGATTTCGGTGTAAACATCGAGGGAGTCAGGGAGAAGTTGGACGCCTTTCTACTAGACAACTTTGTGCCGCTCATGTCCAGGCCTGACTTTCTGTCTTATCTGAGCTTTGAGAAGCTCATGTCTTATTTGGATAATGATCATCTGAGCAGGTTCCCAGAGATAGAACTGTATGAGGCTGTGCAGTCCTGGCTGCGACATGATAGAAGACGCTGGAGACATACCGATACCATCATTCAGAACATCAGGTTTTGTTTGATGACCCCATCCAGTGTTTTTGAGAAGGTTGGTGCATTTGAAAGCAATAGACAGGATTCATCATTTAGTTAAGGCAGTATGTCTTTATAGATAAGATTCCCAGACTGGTCAAGAGCCAAACAGAGAATGAATAGTTTATGTATAAGAAGCCTAATTTGTTATAGCTTGTGCATTTAGGTTTTTAAAAACACATTTTGTGGTGAAAGATGAACCAGGTAGGTAGTAGAGTAGTTTCATTTTTAAAGTACTTTTAAAGTTGAAGGACAATTATTTAATACAAAATATTACAAGTTGCTTCAGCTTTTTTTTTTTTTTTTTCCTTCCCACAAAGTAATTAAATCTGAACTGGGTCAGGCTAGCTCTCTTTTTAAAAATTAATTTAAGTAATACATGCTGAAATTGGATTGAGGAATTTCATAGTTCTGAATGATGTATCAATACAGTTTCTTAGTCCTCTAAAATATAGTAAGGATACATAAAACAGCTCTTGAAAGCCAGTAGGCACTAGTGGTGATTTTCTTTCCTTTCTCACCTAGTTGTGTTTTTCCCCATTTCACTGCAAATACTAAATTTAATCAGGAAAACATGTTATATGTGTAAAAACATCATTTTGACAGTTGTACACGAATAGGCTGTAATTCCTCTGTCTACATTGATCAAGCATCACTATGCACATTTTACCATTTTCATAGTTTTGCTATCTTGAAAGCAGTCTTTCTCCAAAGCAGCCTTGGCCTTTTTGCATATAAGCATTTTCATTTTTATATCAGAGTCTCATTTGTGATCTTTTCTTGCCCAAAGGAGAGAAAGCAGTTTCAGTAATTGCTGAACTTAATTGGTTTCTAATCACATGGTTACCTCTGGGGCTCTGTTTACTTCTTGCATCTTTCCTTCTTTCTAGAAAGGACTCTGGGTGACAGCCTTCATGTGAAACAGTCGCTCAACTTTAGTTACCAGGTCTTGTGATAAAAATACAGTTATCTGCAAAGGAGGGTTGTTTATAACATTTGAAAAATAAACAGATTTTCACCTTTGAATAACACTCAGCAGACTTGCATGTTTTTTTTTTTTCCTTCTGAAATGCTGTGAAATGTCATGAACTTATACTTTTATAGAGAACTCAATTTTATGGGATATTATCTTTATACTCAATGTATTGATATGGCAGAAGTAATTAAAAGTAAATACATTTCTTAATAATTTGTTCAGTGATAATCAGCCCCACATCAACTATGTAAATCATTTGTCTCTGATGGTTTTTTTTTTTCTGACTATTGTTTTTATTTCTCTTTCTCTGGGGAATCCTGTTTTGTCTTTGTACATTAAATGCAAATGTTTCCCACTACTAAAACAAACCAAAATCCTGCATATTTAGTCTAGATGGAAGTACTTGTGGAATAGAAAATAAAATTTCCCATCTTGTAGGATAGTGCATTGGATAATTGATAGCTGTAAGTGGTTTTTAAGTACTGATGTGCAGAGCTCTTTTATATTCTAATTATCAGATCAAGGTAGCCAATAGTGATAGTAGCTGAAAAGTTAACACTCGAGTAATTTTGTAAATCATTCCCTTTTGTATATACAGCATCAGAGGTAGTTACTACCCTATGGCTGGGTATTGTGGGAGTCTCACCAGAGTAATAATGTTGCTAAGGCTTTCTTCTTGAGTTAATATCTTAGGCAAACTTAAATAGGACCTGGCCAGGAGGGAACTTTTCAGTTTTTGTATAACATAATGTAAACTTTTCAGCTTTTAGTAATACTGTTAAGATAAACGAAAGGTAGTCAGCGGTTCTTACCTTAGAAATGTGTGAGACTGATTGGAGACTTAACTTACAGATCATCTCTACAAATGAAGCTATAGAAAACAAACTAAAATGGAAAATTTGATTGGGAAATAAGAGAATTTAGACTATTACACCATACTGTTTTGAGTTCCTTGAAAATAGGGCCCTTCTTCCCTGTACCCAGCACATTGCAGCTCTCAAACAAGGACATTTTAGCATCCATTACATATGCAAGGCACCAGGGAGGATACAGAAATGAAAATATACATCTCTGTGCTGGTCCTTCTTAAGAGAATCTACATGGGGAAAAGTACAAGCAGTTTTGATTTGTCGTTTTATCCTATTTGCTGAAATTTAGAGAACTGGAAGATCGATAGGTGTTTTTATTTTCAGCTTTTAAATTTCTTTAACTTTTTATTATGAGACATTGTAAACATGGAACAAAGGCTGAAAGATTAGTAGAATGATCACCCATAAACTTTCCATGTGGGTTAATAGTTACTTTTTTTCATGTCTGTTTTAGTTAGCTAGATAGGTAGAGGGTGGGTATGCCTGTATGTATAATTTTTTTTTTTTTTTGCTAATCCATTTTAAAGAAAGTTATAAGACAGTTCACTCCTAAATACTTCAATAAACATCTCATCTCCCAAGATAAAGGATATTTACCTACATAACCATAATGCCATCGTTAACACCTAAGAGCACTAAAAATAATTCCTTAATGTCATGTAATATCCAGTCCATTTTGTCAAGTGTTCCCCAAAATGAGCATTTCTAGCTGTTTTTCAGGAGCCAGTATTTCATTAAGGTTCACATAGCACATTCGGTTAATCTAGAATTCTCCTTTACCCCATTTATAATGAGGATGTTTAAACATAAAAAAATTGGAAGAATAGGATAATAAAAACCTGTGTAGTTAGTACCTAGATATCAGAAATGTTAACATTTTGTCATATTTGCTTTATATATTTTTTTTTCTTTGCTGAACCTTTGAAAATAAGTTGCAGACATCCTAACACCTCACCCCTAAATACTTAAATGTGCCTCTCTTAATGACTTTTTTTTTTTTAACCTAACCACAATATTGGGAGCTCTGGTGGCATAGTGCCTAAGGCATTTGACTGCTAATCAGAAGGCTGGTGGTTCAAACCCACTAGGCACTCCTCAGAAGGAAGGTTAGGCAATCTACTTCCATAGTTATACTGCCTGGGAAACCCA